ACTTTGTACTTTAATTGCTTAGAAGTTCACGAATTTCACTTAAAATACCATGATAATGCATATAGTTACACTATTAAACAAGAATACCCAAAACAAATTAATATGAGAACATAATTTCGTTTCATTTCGCTTGTCACAGAATTTAAGTGACTAATTATATGTTCGTTTTAAAATTACGTGATGATAAATAAAACGTTATTAATAACACTATGTTTAGTACTTTATAGCATACACACTTTAAAGTAACCAGTTTTTAATATCAAAATTTAACATTTTTTTTTGCTCTGAGTAATTTAAATCTTACATTCGCAAACAAATTTATAATAAACACATATAACTCTACGATAAATAGTTTTTTTTTTTTTTGCAAAATTGTTCTATTCTAATGTATAATGAAAATATTTTATTATGCGTGAAAATATATGTTTCTATTTGTTTTTCGTTTCATAACTACTCCTGTAGTGTGCACCCAAAATTCATGAAGCGTATTTTATTTAAAATTTTGCATTACACTTAGTTTGTATATACTACTTGTTTTACACCATATAATTTGCATAGGACCGTTTAATAATGTCTTATATATTTGCGTATATTACATAATAGGACAATATAGTCCTAATTATAATAGATATTATGGTAAAATTGTAATATCGTGTTCAACTGAATTTATATTTTTCAAATGAAACATTAAATAACTGTCTCACGTCTAAATTAAAGTTTAAATGGCAATCGAAACTGAACAAACCTTCATTATTTCCACTTCATATCATGTTTTTATTATATTATTTGTAAAATATTATTTTCAAAGGGGTTATTTATTAAAAATTATATTTTACTGAACCGAATAAACCGAGAATTATCATGACCTGTACATATAAAATCGTACCTTTATTTAGGAGAACGTGATTAAAATATAAAGAGAGAAAATAAGAAAAATAAAATTACGAATTCCACAAAGCTAAGCTCAAGTTTTTTACCAACTACAAAATATTTTCTTACAAACATTTTACATTTACTTTTATTTCAACGTGGTCACTACTAACATTGCTACGGCAGTTTAGGATAGTCGAGGATAATACAGTTTTATATTCATACGCATAAAGCAAATAAGTTTGTTGTATAAAGAGGATGAAAATAAATATATATTTAACAAGATATCAGAAATATAAGTATTTTTTACCGCAAAATAAATGATTTCATGATATTGTTGTAAACTTAGCCTTATTGCCCTAACATTTTATTGTAGCAATGTAACGAAAAAAGGTATAACATTTTTTATCTGAAATTGAAATGATAATTTACTATAAACTGTTCAGACATTTCTCTTTATAAAAATGTTTGATTTTTCACATACAATTTTGAAATCATACAAAGTAAAAGAAAATGTTGATAAAATATCAATGAAAATTACTATTAATTAATGTCAACTACTTTTATATAGAAATGAACGTGTAAACGAAAAATATCATACTGACATTTGGAAACTTTAGGATCATGTATCACAATGCATACATAACATTAAATTAAATAAATCTTAGATAAAATTTTTTATTTAAATCGAGTTTTTTTATTTGATTTATGAAATGAATTCTATTACATAAAATTATTATGTTTGTTAATTTCTCATATAACTTATTTACTAGAAAATCTTTTTGGATTTTTAAAACTATTTAACTGAGACATTTTTACGAAAAATGTCCAAAAACTAAATTTTAAAAAAACACAAATAATTTTCATTAATGTTTACCACTTAATTAAATCTATTTTACGGTAATACTACATTTCAGATGTACACAGTACATATTTAAAATATACGTATTGCATACATATATATAATTATACATGCATATAATTATTCCAATATCCTAATTATGTAATAAATTCAAAAAATTCTTAACATTGAGTTGTTCATTATTTTATTGATATTTTAAAACTATTTATAATATAAATACAAAAAAATATAGACCGTGATTAATTTGTAATTGTTTTCCAAAGTTCAAAGGCGCACTACTGATTTCCCACATCAATGTTTAAACTTTAAAATGTCACATGGGAGCAGCGCAGAACTCCATTAGAAAGCGGAAAGATTCTTATTGTGTAATAATCCCTAGTTTACAGTTAAATTTATGGACACGGTCAATATGCTACTAATGCTTAATTAAACTAGCTTTCTGATGACTAATAGGATTAACTTCCTGATACTTTCATCACAACAATTTTACCATAAATTTAACTATAAAAAACCTTGCAATTATTTTTTTCGAACAACTTGTTCTCAGCCAATTAGGTAATTTTTAAGAAGATTAAATTATTAATTGAAAAAAATTAGTTTAAAGCAAACTCAATATATTTATTAATCAAAGTGTTTAGTTTGTTCATAACTATTTTTTACCATTATTTTAGAAAATAATGGAAAATACGAATTAAAAAAGAAAACACAGAAGATCTATCATAAATAATGACTTATTTTCCTTCGTTTTTTTTCTTTTAGCTGTCATATGCTCAATAACTAAAAAAAATAATTTTAAAATTCGCTGTAAGACTTTTAACTTAATCATCTCAATAAATAAACAAAAGTTATTTTAACTAAATTTTTAATTAGAATACAGATCATTTCACAATTTTATTATGTTATTGTACACTATCATATTTCCTATATTTCATCAATATTAAACTATACATAAATCATTATTGATTATGATACTCAATTCTTGCTACGCGAAAAATGTGTAGCGAATAAATCATGTTCCGGAACAATAATATTACTGTTGTATATATATCTTTGTAAGTATCCGGTTTTGTTGTTCTACAAAAATGGTCGAAAATTTATTTGGTGTAACACAAAAAAAATATATGTTTAATTGACAGTATCTAAATGATTGGCAATATAATTAACTAAATATAAAACATTAGAAGTCCTTAAAAATTGTTTATCGTAATATTTTATAAATAAAGTTCTAAAAACAAAATTAATAAAACATACCACAGATGAATTAAATACTTGAAATATTTTTAAATATAGTAAAAAGTAGGGATAATTTTTAATTTTCGTAAAAATAAAAAATTAAACCTTTAAATTAGTTAATTTTAACCAATTTATATTTAAGAGTCTTTATGGAAAATTTTATAAAAATATAATCAAATGTGAATCATTTTTACATAAATAAAAAGATTATCGAGATACAAATAAATTTTCATAACGTCCAAATAATCTCTGAAAAGTACCATATTTTCAAAAAGGTCAGGAATTTTCATCTTCGTTAATGTTTAGTTTTATGATAAGAAACGGTAAATATTGCCATAAAAATGAGATTACTTAAATTAAAATTGACTTAGTCGACGTTACTATTTGAAATTTTTACAATTTTGAATTTATTACAGTATTGTATTTACTGAACGTTCTTTGAACAAAGAAAAAAGCCACGTATGTGCGTGTATTGTGTATATTAAAAAAAATTATATCTACAAAATATATTGTGCTTGTAAAATATTCACATCAGTATTTTACTCACTTATTTATATATATTTTTTTAAAGTCACACACCGATGTTATGACATGGGTGTGTGCAGAATTTTAAAGCGTGGATAGAAATGTAGGGGAATACGTTATCCTTACACAAACCTTAGGAGAAAATGCATTCACGGCATTTGATACATTATAACACGGTACAGTAAACACGTAGAACTCAAAATTCATGAATTAATCTGGAGATATAATCCTAGTCTATTTTCTCCTTAAATAAGCTATGTTATTAAAGAAATTTGTAAATTATTATGTGTACGCTGAAACCTGATTTTTGCCTTGCAAATCTAGAAAACCTTAAAACTACTGTTTTGTTAATGAAACAAAAAAATATAAAAATAATAGTACACTCTTCTTAATTACAGTAATATGTTACTATAATAAATTATTTACAGTGTTTACATTTTATATCAAATATATTAATTACTCAGTACTATATACACATACATTTAGGTTTTGGTAATGCGAATCCTTACATTTAATGGAACCATATAAATGTTTGATATCATGGCTACTGTAATATACAAAGTGTAACTTAATTAGATTGTACGCTAAATCATTCAACTTCCACATTGATTACTATTCGAGGAATCCAACGACAAAAAAAGAGTATATAGTATAACCCAATTTTTATAATGAGTGGTATTTTTTTTAGAATAAAATTGTTTTTGTTGTGCGTATTTCATTTTAAAAACAATGAAAGTCATTTTATATACTTAAAATTAATTACACAGAGAGCAATTTAAAAAAATAATGTTACAAAAACATTATTTAAAAAAAAAAAAAACGATGGCTAGGTATGTATAATTATTATAACTAAATTCAACAAGTTAAATGTTACTAGACTTTTTTTTTAATTTGAATTCATTTTAAAAAGTAATCGACTATGAAGTAGCTAATGGTACAAGAATAAATTTATATTGTATTCGAGTAGATTTTAACTATAAACACTTTTGAATTAAATTACAAACTATTTTATTTTAATTGGCACACTTAAATTTTCTAATAAAAATAAACTGTAAAGTTTTATAGTAATTGTCTCTTTTTAATAAAGTGGGTACATTTTTGTATACGTTTTACAACACCTCTGAAACCATTGTAATAACAACATAATATTATTACCACGGAATTGCTATCAAATCGGTGGTTGTATGAATATTTATTTTAAATATGACAAATAAAATCCTTTCCAATAAGATTTCGTTCTTTCAAACTCAAATCTACTAAGGCCTTTTAAATAAAATTATAATTAAGTTGAAATAAGCAGTATAAAAGTATTATAGATTTCTAAGAATTGCTTTAGTCCGAATTTCACAATATTAATATTAATAATAACCATTGAAAAAAGAAAACCTTCTGGCTACAGAACTTGGAAATTGTGTGAATAATTATATTATATTACAACTTCATCTCATCTATAAAATAAGTATTTCAAATTGATGTTTTACAATCTAATATGATTATTAAACAAACTTACCAACATCAGCCGAGATTTGTTCATTGTAGTATAGGACAAATAGTAATAAAAGATAAACTAATCTTTTTCTTGCTCCACGAGTGTTTATCATCTTAGTCTGAGGGAAATTACCATGAATTGTTGTTCATTCCTTCAACAATATTTTAAGATCATCTGAAACAATTTTAATTAAAATAATAAACATTTTTTATTTTTTTTTTCTTGAAAACCAATATCTTAGTATTTAAAGTTTTTTAAACGGAATGCGTAAATATTAATTTTAAAAATAAGTGGGTTTATTAATAATAATTTATAAAATTTTCTACATTATTTATTTACATATAATATCAACAAATTTTCATTATTTAATGTCGAAGGTATTATAATGCAAATTCGCTCATAAAATACAAAAATATTAAAATGTTGTGGCTATTATTGGTTTTATTTTATTTCAAAACTCAATATATGAAACATAGTAACCCATGATGATACGTTTTTAATCAAATTCATTCAGTGTTGAGTGAATCAGTAGCCCATTAAACAATTAATTGTTTAACTAATTATTCTGGCGTTAACATCATATAACACCAATGACTTCTTAATTAGAATTGGAAACTGTGTTTCATTACTTAATGTCACATTTTCTCTTTAAGAAAACATTTAAAATTTATTTTTCTGTCAAAACATTATATTCATTAATTTATCATACTGTATCATTTAATTTTCTCGGTCGAAATAAGTATTCATCGAGTCAAAAAATGTTTTGAAAAGAGCCTTCATGTGAATTTTTCTGACTTCCTAAATTTTTTATTTGAATTATTTTAAAATAAAAAAAATATGATGAAGTCCAATTAGTAAATATATCTCTTTATGTTATTCATCTCATTTAATGAAGTAATAGTAACAAGTCCTCTGCAAAATCACAATTTTTGATACAATATCCTTAGCTATTTAGTTACTGAAAAATTCCAATGTTTGACATTTTATGAAAAATTAACATTTTTGTGTTTTAATCAATTATAAATAATTTTACATTATTATAGAGAACAAATATTCATTAATTCTATGAGTGTGACATTAAAATAAAAGTTAGTAAAGAACTATATACTATGAAAAACTATTCAATCACCCTATAAATGAGTAATTTCATAAATTATCATTCTTTTATGTGAATTTAAACTTCTGAATATACCTCATGTATTTTTAAAAATATATTATTTTTTCTTTTCAATAGTTAATAATATCCTATGTTTTATAATTTGGTTTTATCTACTCTCTTTCCATCTTTATATTTTATCAACTTACGTTTTTTTAATAGAAATATATATATATATATGAATTACTAGTAAATACGTACCAATAATAAACCAATTTACAAACTAGAAATTGAAAGGGTTGTTATGTTTTATACACGCAATGTTTAAAACACCATAAATTTCTAAAACTACGTAAGTAATATGAGACATTTAAAAAATTTCTAACTATTTACTTATATTTATACAGGTTTTTTTTTAAATATATTTTAACAACTCTGATAAATAATCTATCTCAGAGAATGACTGATCGATAACAACTTTTAGACCAGTATTTTGGTAGTTATTAAATTTTTTAATATAAAGACTAGAGATCTATGGGTCTATTTATTATCATCTCTAGGTATAAATGTACCGTACTAAATCCCCTGCCAAGTTATAAATATTAAAATATCTTTTATTTTTTAGTTTGTAAGTTGGTTTAGCACACATGTATATATTTCCATTTAAAAAACTAAAGTTGATAATATTTTAAGGGGAAAGAGGAGAGATAGAACCGAATTATAAAAAGTATAAACTTCTGAAAATAAAATACAATATTACATTTTATTTTTTTATAGATATTGCGTAAGTTATAGTTAAACTATCACTCTATATTTATATTAAAACATAGTATCGTGAGTTTTTGTATTTATGTTTTATACTTTATTTTGAGCCTTTTTTAGATTCCAAAATAAATTTTATTATATACACTAATAAAAACACGAATATCACTTGAAAAAATACAAGAGTATCTTTATAATTATAAAAACTATGTTCTATTTTTTCAAATCAATAAATGTAATCACGTTTTTTTCCTTATGGAAATCTAATCTGGGTTATTTATAATGAAAATACTTTTATACGATAAAAATCAGTTAAACTGAAGTACACTCTTAAAAGTTTATGAGCACAATATTTTTAAAAACAAACCATATATTTTTCAACAAACGTACCTAATGTACGAGAGTCATTGAACTAAAACGGGTAAACATTCCTTAGGGACTATCTTTGAAATTTAAATTTAAAATGTATGTTCAATTCTGATTATTGAATTAAATTCAATGCATAGACTCTAATAAATGAACCAAAAATGTCCTTACATCAGTATATTTTTAATATACACACAAGTAGTGTAATTTTGACATTTAGTGTCATAAATTCATACACAAATATAACATTTTTATCACTATTTATCTACATTTTATGCGTTAAAAACTTCTATTACATATATGTAATATTTTTTTAAATAATGTAATTGTTTATTAAAATTTATTTTATTTTTCTATACATTACAAATGCCATAACAGGTGTTAACAAAAATTATTTTTCAATCAAATTTAATAAGTTTAACACAATTAAAAATATTACTCATTACTTTGTGTTACTCATTTCACTCTTAGTAATAATAAACAAATATGTAGATATATCAAAGTAAATTTTTGGTTAAATAAAAAGATTTTAAAATTTTGAAACAAATTTTCTTCAAATTTTATTTTGATTACACAAATAAACTCTTTTCATAACAATTAATTTAATTTTATAGTCAATTTACATTTCTAGTAGAATCGATTAATGTCAATATTTTAGAGGCCGTTTTGCCTCTATACTCTTGTCTCTATTTTATATTTTGGAATTCAAATAGAAGTTGTTAGGCATTGGTACATTTTTTGTGTTCATTTATGTTTAATTCTATTAGTTTTCTGATTGATGATATATTATGAAACAAAAATTGCAGTTAGTCACTATAGGTATAAATGCGATTTTTCGTTCAATTGTGAATTTATCGACTAATAAACATTTTATGATTAAAAATTTATGAATTTATAAATTCATTTATCACAATTAAACACTAAAAAAAATAACGTTTATCCTGTTGCAATTCATACCAATGAAGTAATTAATGTATATTATTCGTTAAAACTATTTTTATTCTTATCTGCTATTGAACTTATGTAATCATGAGAACTAATGTCCTGTGAAATTACATCTCAGCCTAAAAAAGTATCGTATATTTTATAAAGACCAATAAAAGTTTCTTTCGAGAAAATACATTAGAAAATAATTACTACAACATATAACATAAATTCAATTACATTACACTATCAAAAATATAAGACGAATGTAATTTATAAACTATTTCTAATTTATCTCTACTTGGGTAATTTTTTAAAAAAATTCTTCACCTATAAAATGTTAAAATAACATTAAAATTGAAGACCTCTCAAATATAAAAAATATTTAAAAAATAAAAAATTAGGATCAATTAATCTTAATTGTTTTATAGTTATACATCTAAGAAGATAAAAATTCATTTTTTAATCTATAAAATAACTTTACCTTGAGAACTAATTTAAGACCCATTGAGTGTAAAACGAAAAGTTGCAAAAATAAAATCATTATAAAAAACCTGTATAAATATAAACAGACTTGAAAAAACACTACAGCCGATTTAATATTACTCACGTTGGTGGAAATAAACAGGCTTGAAGAGGCTATTTTTATGATCAACTAAAGAAAATGTATTATCTGTGAGTTCAGTGGAATGAAAACGTCAATATTATCATTTTTGATAAAATAAACTACAAAAATCAGAAATTATCAATATATTTATTAACATTCAAAATTACAAGAAACAATAATATAGTAAAAAATAAAAACAGTACAGTCGGAACCAAATAAATTTATATTGGACATAGTAAATTCTAATATAGCTTGAAATTTTATAGTAATTAACATCACTATCATAAAACGCTTTAAAAATTTACAAATTTTGTATTAGGTGTCGTACGTCGGTAGTGCCTCAACGTAGACGCAAAAGTTTAACACAAATTTATTAATGTTTTATACAGAGTGGCCCACCACTCACTGACAACTTAAATAACTTTTGATCCAGTTAATATTTTTAGTTGATTTTTTTTTAAATAATAGTTATACGTTAGGTCTATAGCTATATCTCAATAATTAATTTTTTTACATTTTATTAAAAATATTAATTATTTTTAAATTTTAAATAAAATGTAAAAAAAAAATCTAAGATAGCTATTTTGTAGAGTAGAATTTAAGAAAAATTTTAGTAAAAAAATATCTTATTAATATTCAGTAGTAAATATTCTGTAGCGTTTTGAAGTTTGT